TATAAATTTAATAAAATAAAAAATAAAAAATATCATAATAAAAGATAATAAGTTAAAACCTTCTACTTAATTAGATAAAGAAGTAAAAGCAGGTTAAGCGAATGTAGAAAGTAAAAAGCTTTCGTGTTTTTCCTTCTCTTCGTCTAATTGTCTTCATCTTCATTTCGGTCCATTGAACTTGAGGCCCATTGGGTCTCTTAACGGGCTGCCTTCCCAAGCCGTGTGAGAGTCGGGTAGAGAAAAGGGCTCAAGATTGCACTGTTTGACCGAGTACGAGCCGCCAGTCATATAAACCTCTTCTCATGATTGACCCGACAGCTCGTGTTCTCTATAAACTAAAATCTGGGTAGGTGTTTCTTCAAAAATTTTGGAGCGGTACCACTCGCATGGCTTGTTTAAATGCAGAGCATGTCACTTTATTATAAAATGAGAAAGTAAGATTTTTATAATGATTTTTCTATGTGGTTGATTTTTTTCAGAATAGTTATAAGAATATTGATTTAGAATTGAGTTTTATATCTTTAAATAATTCGTAAGAAAAAAAGATATTTTTTTGTCGAATGAGTTAATGATTTACCTTGAATAGCTTTAAATACTTTAAAACACTATCGTTAATTAAAAACTTAAAGATCCATAATAACTAAAATGAGTAAAACAAATGAGTTTTCATCTAAATATACTAACAAATTTGAGTAATGAAGAATTGGCAAATTAAATTAAATCATTATAGAACTAGAAAAGTAAATAGGCTTAAAATTAGAATAAAACTAAGTAATCATGGTGATTAAGCAAAGAAGATTGAAATTAATATAAACATGAATGAGAGGTTAAAAAGCTATATAAGTTGACATTCAAGGAAATGACACTTCTCTTAAAATTACTAAATAAACAAATAGATTAATGTAGAAGTTAGAACTAACCTAAATCCGATCAGAAGTTGTACTAAAGCAAGGTCTGTGAGTTGTGTGAATGGTACTTAAAAAACTAGAAAACTGAATTTGTTGAATTGTGGGTAAGGTTGGCCATGTTTTACTTATTTTGATTTTTTTTTTTAATGCCTTCAGGTAGATGGTAACCACCCACTTCTATTTGTGCAAAACATGATAGATTTTTTGGGTAGTTAGACAACTCAACAACAAATCTAGTCAAATCCTTCTCTAGAACTTGCCACTTGTCTACCACCTCACCCACTTGTTGAACTTGGCTTGCGACTTCTAAAATTTAGTCATAATCTCCATTAACGTTAAATACTACTAAATAATAGGAGATAATCGCAGAAAACACCAAATCTAGTTGAACATGTGGTAGCTATCAATAAAGTTTGTCATGCTCCAAATTATAACAATATGAAGTCTAACTAGCTTAATCATAACCACTCATTCAAATAATATGACATATGACATCATTAAATATATTTGTAATTTATGATAAAATCAATAAGTTTCTCTGTATTTATGCAATTTCAGATTCGGAGGTTTTATCAAAGGAAGAAGAAGGAAGAATGCCACGGTTAACTTGAAACGCAAGTAACAAGGAATTCAGCGATGATTCAGAGGAAACGCCTCTTTACAAATCCGATTGGCACTGCTACAATCTCAAGGCTTTCATTAGATCCTCATTCGTTGCTGCTCTTTCAGAACTTTTCTCGAGCAACTTCACTACAATCTTGAATCCATTGGGAAACTGCCCTCTATAAACAATCCCAAATGCTCCCAAATGCTCCAGACCCCAACTTGGTCGAGTAATTGCTGGTAAAGGCACAGAGCGGCTGCACATGCATCATCCTCCCAAACTTGAACCGCATGTTGCCGCTGACTT